CCCCCTCTGCGACTCCAAAGGCCGGCGGCCACACGATCTTGCCGACGCGGCGGTGCGGGACTTGTTGGATACCTGGGACCAGGAGAGCCACAGCCACCGCGCCGCGGGACACACGGTGCCACCGGACCCCGTCTCCAATGGGCAAACACAGCCCTTGGCACCCAACGGCGTCTCCGTCTCTCCCGGCGTGGGCCTGGCAGCAGCAGAGGGAGATCACGGCGGCATTTTTTGGCTGCCAACCCCACCAGTGGCTTTTCTTCCGATGAAAAACCCCACGAAAAATGGGGCAAATAGTGTTTTGTTGAACCGAGAAACCCCGCAGGGCACCCGTGTGGTGGAGTGTGCCGTGACGGAGGAGCCAAAACGGCGCTGCCAGCTCTCGCCCCACGCCGCAGCCACTGGCGAGCAGCCGGAGATGTAGAAGGGCTTTGGTCTTGGCTCTCCGCTCTCCGGTGGGGTGGTTCGGTGTCACCTGTGGCGGAGGAACCGGCAGCCGCTGAGCTCGCGGTGCCCGTGCCGGGACGACGGTTAGACTGCGAACCGGGGAAAGCCACGCGTGAGAGGGAGATGTGCAACTTGTGCGCGGGGAGGAGGGAGCCTCGCTGAGGGCACCCCGAATCAGGTGCCCCGGTTGCTTCTGAAGAAGAAGAAGAGAAGAACCGGAGACAGAGGTGGCCCCACCAGTACCCCAGAGCTCCCCCAGCCATGCCCAGGGCACAGTTCCCAGTTGGGCACGACTACTGGGGAAGCTGTCACTGTCCCGCTGCCGTGCCGGCTCCCGACGTGGCATGTTCCGGTGGCTCAAGATGACTTTTTTTTCTTGATGCTTTTGGGGCAAATTGGATGGATTTGGGGTCCTGGAGAACCAATAACCCCCCCCCCCCCCCCCCCCGCTGTGAAACACGGAGGAGACCGATATACAGATATAGATTTTTTATTACCCAACTGGCAAAAAAAATACCCCCCAAAAAAACCCCCAAATCCCATCGAATAAAATTCCACAGTTGGTTTCACAACCGGGAGGGAGCGGCAGGAGGAGGAAGAGGAGGAGGAGGAAGAGGAAGAGGAGGAGAAGGGGGTCACAACCGGGAGGGGGAGGCCCGGCCCCCCCTGCACTCCCCTGGCCCGGTCTCCCCCAAATATACAAATCAAACCTGATGCGAAAAATAAATAGGAGTTCCCAAGGGGAAGGCGGGGAAGGGGTTGCATAGAGGAAGATTTAATAATAATAATAAAAAAAAAAGGGTTCTTTTTGTCTTGGTTTATTATTATTATTATTATTAATAATTATTATTATTATTATTTCTAGTATCTCCCCGCGGAAGGACCTAGGACCTGATCGTCGAGATGTGATTAACAAAAATAATTAACCTTCTCCCAATAACTTACAGAGTTCACCCAGGGAACTTGTGCTTTTTTCGGGATGGGGGAGGGGGGGGAATATCTCTCCTTTCCCCCCCATCCAACTCCCCACCGGGCACGAAGCTCCGGGGATGGGGCAGAGGGGGGGTCCGGCCGGTGTCACCGGGGGTCCCACATCCTGCCCCGAGGAGGTCACCGGGGGATTTGGGGGTCCCCCGGTGCCGGGGGTGGGGATGACAGCCGGCGCTGGCCCCCTCCCGCCTGTA